TTTCTCTCGTTGCAAAGGTGACCTGCATCACTTTACGACCGTCCCCTCTGCAGCTCGAGAGCTCACTTCAGCTGAATGACCCTCTCTTTCGGCTCTCAGCACTCACAGCCGTGTCCAACACCTTCCCTCGCTGCGTGGCCAAGTGACACCCTCTTCTCTGCTAAGTGTAGCCCTGTCGCCCATGTTACACCTCTTGACAACAGATGTATGCTGCTTTGCACCCCTCCCAGAGCTCTTCCAAACCCTCAGCTGAGTACTTCATGGGTGACACTTACAAAAGCAAAACAAAAGGAGTGCAAGTCTAAATTAGGCAGAAGTAAATAAAGAGTACGGCTAACCGCTGAATGCACACACTTTCACAACGCTGTTCCCACAGCGACTGGAGGAGCAGTCAGATTCGCTTTGTCCACTTAGCCACCCATTCTTTATCCGCTCCAGATGCTCCTTCTCACAGAAGGAAGGATGAAGCCCAAACCTTCATTACAAACGACCACAGCGTGAGGGAAACGCCAAGACGGAAAGGAAGGGAGCAGGAAGGACGGGGATTAGTGTGATTTCAGAAATGAGCATGCACATGTCAAGAGGAGTTATGAAGGTGCAGCTGCAACAAACAGTGTTTAAGCCGGCAGAGTTGACAGAGAGGCACGGAGCAGGTAGCAACAGGCTGCGTTCACAGAGTCAGACACGATTCACCGGCTGATGAATCACTCTGCAGGGGAGTTTGTTTAACGCGGTATTAAAAAAGAGCTTTAACTAAAATTGGAAAGCAATTTAAAAAAAAATACATTTAAAACAAAGTTAAAGGAACAAAGAAAAGAAAAGAAACCTAATCATTTTCACAAAATCCAACCCTAAACCCATAATGTGAGATATTCTAAAAATCAAAACTGATCGAAACCAAACTACGAGTCACAAATCAAGTTCAAGTTCAAGTAGGTTTGTTGTCATTTCCATCACATGTGGTACATGAGGTGGAACAAAATTATGTACACAGGGTCCCAGTTACACCCAACAATAGCAAAAATATTGTTACTGCGTGAGCCGATGCAGGCCCCGAGCTACTGCAGCTAGTTGTTGCTAGCTGCGGGCCTCAGGCCTCTTCTCGGACCCCGGGTCCGCCTCCAGCCCACGCTGCCCCCCGGCTCAGACCTCCCTCAGAAGGAGCAACTCACACTATCAATAAATCAAGGAAACATGAATAAAGTTTTACCAAATGTATTAAAATCAAGGCAGGAAAAGGTTTCAATTTACAGCGCTGGCCTGTCCGATACACAACGTGGTATCCTGGACCGGAAGGGCCGATGTCACATGGCATTACAACTATATAGGCCCTAGACTCCTCCTTTCACAGAAGGAGAGCAGCTTATCACTTGGATGAGGGGGGCGGGCTAAATGTGATCTCATTGGACCTTACATGATTTAACGTGTAAGGAAAAATGATGCGGTGCATAAAAAGCCTTTCTGCGTGAAGCAGCGAGCCAAATAAACTCTATTCCTTGACAGATCTTGAAGCCCTGGGAAACTCTTTTTAGAGTGGATGGCCCCATTTAAACCAGTCAGAACCGGGTCATAATTTCATTATAATCCTGTCTCTGAATAGATCAAAAATCGACAAAT